TTAAGTACTAAACAGTTTGAGTGCTCCTTCAAAAATGTTTTGATACATTCACTTTTGTTTAATTTAGTTGGGATAATGAATCCATCCAGCTGGCACAGAGTTGGATCCCTCAAGAAACAGGTATAACAGTCTGGTTTTTGTGTTTACTGTAGTTCTAAATGTCATACTTATTCTACAGTAACAGGTTTTTTGGTGTGTTTTTTGTTGTTGTTTTTTTGTTTGTTTGTTTGTTTGTTTTGTTTTTTGTGCACAGTTATATTTGCATCAGATGTGAGAATAAATTTTGACAAGTTCAGGAACTGTATGACTGCAACTGTGATATCCAAAACCATCATTACAACTAACCCAGGTAAGAGCTGCTGAAGTACTGCTTTGGTATTAATAATAATTATAGGCTATAATGCACAAATTAATCTATTGGAAAGTCTAATTTCTTCTGCTTGTTTGTCTTACAAAGATCTCTGCTTTTTATCTGATATAAAATGACCAATGCCTTTGGCTTCCACCCTGATTTGATTTCTTTTATTTCTTTTATTGTATTTTATTTATCTAAACAGTCTTCATATATTCAGTGCAGAACTAACAGTTAAAATAAAAAAGAGAAAAGTAACTCTTGGCTGATTCCAAGAGACAATGTGTTGGTGCTACCAGAACACAAAGTTGTAGAATATAATGCTGCTGTTATTTTTCCATGCGCCACATCCTAATAACTTTTAAAAATACATCTTCAGAGACAGCAGAAGCAAATGTTCTCTTCAGCTTCATCAAGGACAGTGCCCAGTCAGGAGCTCTGCATGACAGAATGAAGGAGCAGGCAAATGAACCCATTAACTGTAAGTATGGGTGCAGACACTGATTTCATTTAACTATATCCTGTGGTTTCAGAGTGCAGCTGCAAGAATTCTTGCTCTGTGTGTTCAGAGAAACAAAGCTCAGGTACAGCCTGGCTCAGTATTTAAATCTGGACTGTTATTCTTGGGGCTGTCCCTTATTCTATTAATTAGGTACCTTCAGTTGACTGTGCCAACTGCAGCCTGTCTGGTGTGTTCTTTCTGTCCTGAATAAATATGAAAAACTGAGAGGGAGAGTGTTTTGTCAAAAGCTCATTTTGAGGGATACAAAGACTAAATAGTAGATAGTTTCCTGACTTTAGTTCCCTTTTGTTTGACTTTTTCAACAGGAAGGTGTGGGGGGCTTTTCTGATGCTTTAGATCAAATCCTCTCCTTTTTATTACCTTCAGATCCTTTGTTGCTGTTGCTCTTTTGAATTATTTCTTGCTCAGACCCACTTAACGTGTCTTTTATTTTAGTGGAGACTATAGTTGATGTTTATACAGTGGAACAGCTGAAGGAAAAAGCTCTCCAGGGTGATGGGAAACCCGACCCTGTCTATGGCATTATTTATGGCTACATTTCCACCCTGGACATTGATGATAATGTATCCAAAGTTATGCGCAACAGATGGTGAGCAACTGCCTCAAACTGTATTAAAAACTGCTTGTCCTCCTTCCCTGACCCAAATGAGGTGGAACACTATTTTAGTCCATTTCTGGAAAAGAAATAAAGCTCCTCTGGAGGATGCCATGTGGATTTCTGCTGTGTAGACTTCCACAAGTAGCAAGGAAGAGGAGTTGGCTCCATGAAGGACTTGCTCTTTCTGGTCCTGGAGCCAAGAAAAAAGAGGCCACTTTGTCCCAGACAGACTTGAAAGTTTAAAAGATGAGAAATTTTTGTTAAGGACAAAGTCTCTTGGGAAATGTCAGTCTAGAAAAACGTTTCAAGCAAGGAGGAATTGCATATGTGCATTAATTATCTTCTGCTTCAGCTCGATCTGCCGGTTCGTGGTGAACGAAATGTCAAACACTTGCACTTTCTGCAGCGACGTCTCTCCAGAGTCAAAGTCAACCTTTGCAAGCTTTGACATCCTCGTGGATGTGACAGATCACACAGGAACTCTCCATTCCTGTTACCTGTCTGACTGTGTGGCTGAGGAGACGCTGGGCTGCACAGTAAGTAGGGAGGAATGAGGTTGTTATTTAAGGCCTATCAGGCTGTGAAGCCTGATAACAATTACAAATGTATGTAAATGTTCTTCACGTGCGTGTACAACAGCTTAAAATATTGCACGTAGGTAGAGACATACATTGAGCTTTTTAACAAGTCCAAAGTGAGAAGTCAGCAGCTGCTAATAAGAATTGTGCTAAATGTAAGAGTGAACACCCAATTCAAAATATTGCTTTATTTTAATTCACACTTTTCTGAGAATGTGGTTGGAAATCCCTAACTTTGATTCTCAATTTATTCTGGCTAATTTGACTGCCTTGGTACATTATCACACCAAACGCTATGTTAAAATAGAAAAATACAGCCTAGACGTGTATAAAAATGTGTAAGATGCTCTTTTCAACTTCACTTTGTTGTGGAGATGTTGTAATCATATGTTAACAGGTCCATGAATTCCTCATGCTGGAAGATGACCAGAAGACTGCATTGAAATGGCAGCTTCTTTTGGAACGAAGCAAGATTTATTTCAAAGTTAGTATTTAGTCTTCATTTAAAACAGGGGCTCTTTTTCACTCTTAAACTTGTCCTTCTTAGCAAAACTGTTCTTACTCTCCCATCTCCCCCTCCTCTGTCCCTGTTTCCAGGACAAAACAAATGTTTTTCTCCAGCAGTGACAGGTATGTAGCACAAATGTGCACTCACACAGGAAATAGTGTAAAATACGGATCCATGTGTCAATCATGCTGTGTGACATCTGAAAATAATCTATGCCAAGGTGCTGTACAGCAGTGAAAACAAAGACCCCTAATTATTTTTCCAGGTTACTTTGTCACCCAACTGGAGAACCGGAATGAAAGTGAATCTTCTTTCCTGCAAACTGGCAGATCCTGTAGAGGCGAGTCAGAGCTTGTTGGGAAGAGACTGGAAATAAGAGATTATGCTATTAACAATGTCAAGGAAAAAGTCTTCCTTCCCTGTGTTATTAGAGGTGGAATTCTTTGGTTGTCCGGTTTTGCCAAGTCTGTTCTGACAGTAAGGAAGGAATGTGCATTACTAATACCTGTAAATGGGCTTCTGGGTTGATCTTCTTCAGGTGATTGTACTTCAGAAAGTAACTTGGGCCTCAGCTTAAAAGTCAGTTCTCCCAAAGTCAACCCCTTCCAAGGAGGGTGAAGAGTTTCTTCACTCAGTTGAGATCTCTGAAAACATCAGAAATGACAAATAGGTCAGGACAGATCTCCTGACTTCTGTGTTTTAATTGCCTTGCTACTTTTGTGTTAGTTTAAATAAATAAAGACCCACTTTGAAACACTGCCTGGGTTTGTGGTGCACCTTGGTGAGTCCAAACACGGAACCTGTGGCAACAGAAGAGGTGACTCTCTTTGGGGCAGACTAAGGCTTATTGATTAGAACAGTCATCAATTAGCAGTGCCCTCTGACAATCAGCTGAGACTGTGAGCAGCAGAGAGGAAAGGACTCTTCTTCACCAAAGTAGCTGTCCTTCACTGGACATAAAGAACCCAGGTAGGTATACTTTGCCTTTCTCGTGTATTTTTTCCCTATTCTTAATCTATTTCTGTCCTTAGCTTCCCCTGCCATTGGTGTATTTGTTGCATTCTCCAGTTCTCACCTTCTGAGCACGTTGGGACTCAGCCTGTTCCAAACAGTGGGAGATCCCCCAGCCCTCCTCTTGCAAGGGATTCGTTATGCCAGGACACCCTGAGGAACTCGGGTCACCCTCGTGCCCCACCTGCCCTTAAAGCAACGTGGCACAGAGAAAACAACCACAGAAACAGCGAATTCTGACAAGAATCCACCAGGACTGCATCCCCTTCTCCCACAGGTGGGAACAAGGGATTAAACACCCCAAAAAACGCCGCCAGTGCTGGATCACTGCACCCCTGTTGTAGCATTAAATGATTCAACATTTTCCAGCCATAACAGTTCAGGTTCTGAAGTGAATGTTTCCAATAATTTATTCCCAGTTTGGCTCTGCTGTCAATGCAGGGCTGGAGACCAAACTGCTCATGATGCATTGCTGCTGTCACCATAAACGGGAATGTTTGACAGGCACGAGGAAATGGAAACAGGACAGAAACTTAATTCCATCCTTCCTCTTCCAGGATTGTTCACCCTGATGTCTATTTTAATCCTGCAACGTTCTGCTCTCTTTTCACAGTGTGATGTGCAGCACCCTGGACCATGCAGCTCTCACAGAGGTGCTTGACTTTGGGAGACAGGAATTTTCTCTGTAAAACTCCCCACTTTTAAAAACAAATCTTTTCCTAGCAATTATTAAGATGTGACTCCAGTAAATGGAAGCATTTAACTGTGGTGCTTGCACGTATGTAAAAAACTTATCCCATCTGTTTCTGTTAGAAACGAGTCAGTTCTGTGCAACCTTTGAAAATGGTAAGTTTTGATGTTTGTGTGGGGAGGATTTTTTTAATTATATTTTACAACTTACTCTGTCGCTCCAAGGAATTGAAAGGGAACTCGCTGTCATGCAAACCAGTGGGGAGTGTTGGATCAGCTGGAGTTTGGAACTGGGGAAAGTTCCACAGCGTGGCTTTGAGCAGCTGGAAATACTTAAAACCTCCAACTGCTGCACTGCATTGTCTAAGTAAAAGCAATTGCTGCAGTTACATTTTTATTAAAATTGGATTTAAATCAGTAAAAGCCAAGACAAATTTACTGGTGATCTTTACCCAGGAGCCTCTTTATTCTTGATCTTTTGTATTATTTCACTTTTAGAACATATTTAAAGATCAGCTTAGGACAAAATCAATCTGCCAAGCATCTGGTACACTTCCTGCTGCATTCACTCCTTGGAGCGGGAGAAAAAGCCATCCTCATTTAATCATTGGAAAATGCAGGAGGAATTGTAAAACTGATCAAAAAATCAAACATCTTTCTTTTGTAAAACATCCCAAGAAACTTCTTGTGAAGCTGCAGTTCTTGATTTACTGTTACACATGTAACTCCTCCATCACCACTCTGTTTGATCAAGAATTTTTATTTTTAGGCAATACATTGGCAAAGCTCAAATCATCACAGGAGAGAAGCACACAGAGCACTTGGGCCATGGAAGTGTTTGTTCACCAGACGTCCCCCAAGGAGCCTCGTCCCAGGCAGGCTCCTGGTTTAGGATCCCCGTGTTTGCTGCGCCACCTTAAACCGCATGGAGAGCACATCCTTGATCCCAGCCTCTATCTCATCGTTGGCCTCCACGGACCCAACTCCTTTGGGAGACCCTGTCAAAATCAAGTCCCCTTCTTCCAGGGGGAATACTTGACTGATGTAGCTGATGAGGTAAGGGATGGAGAAGATCATGGAGGAGGTGTCCCCCTCCTGCCTCAGCTTTCCATTCACCTTGAGCCAGATCTGCAGCTTGTGAGGGTCTGGGATCTTCTCCTTGGGCACAAAGTCACTGACCGGGCAGGAGGAGCCGAAGCCCTTGGCCAAGGTCCAGGGCAGCCCCTTCTTTTTGCACTCCTCCTGCGTGTCCCTGGCCGTCATGTCGAGGCACAGGGCATATCCCGCCACGTGCTCCATGGCAGCCTCCTGGGACACGGCCTGGGCCCTCTTGCCGATGACCACCCCCAGCTCCACCTCGTGGTGCAGGTTGCGGCAGTAGTAGGGCCGGAAGATGGGCGACCCTTCGCGCACGTAGGCCGAGGAGGGCTTGAGGAAGAAGAGGGGCTCCGTGGGCAGGGCGCTGCCCATCTCCTTGGCGTGCTCCGCGTAGTTGCGCCCCACGCACACGATGTTCCTGCCCCACTCCCAGAAGCGGGACAGGGGCCTGGAGGAGGCCATGGCCGCGGCGCGTCTCCTTCCCGGAGCAAGGCGGCCGCCCTTGGGCTGTCCTTGCCGGGCCGCTCCTCCGCCTCCTCGGCCGGGTCGGCGAACGAGCGGCGGCGGGCGGGCCGGGGGGGCCGGGCGGGAGCAGCGCCGCCCCCGCCGCTCAGCGGGCCGGGCCGGGCCGGGCCGGCTCTGCCGCCGCCTCCCGGCGCCGGGCGGGCAGCGAAGGTAACCGGGCCGGGCGGGGCGCGGCGCACGATGCTCCGCGGGGGCTGGCGGGGGCTCGGCGCCGCCCTGGCAGCCGGGGCCGTCCTCGGGGCCGCGCTCCGAGCGGGTACGTGGGGCGGGGGCAGCCCCGGCAGGGCCGCGCGGGGCGAGCGCTGCCCCGGGGCCGCTCCGGGCGGCTTCGCTCGCGGTTCCCGGCGCGGGCGGTGCTCGGGGGGTGCTCGGGCGGTGCTCGGGGGGTGCCGGGTTTGCGCTGACTCACAGCCCCAAGCAGGGCAGGTCCTGCTCGGCCGCAGCCGGCGCTGCCGCGGCTGTTCCCGTCCGTGCCCGTGGCGGAGGCCCCGCGGAGGTGCCGGGCCCCGCAGCGCCGGTCAGTGCTCGGGGAGGAGGGCGGGGGGCCGGGGCTGGCCTTTGAACTGGGCTCGGGGGGTGACACGTTGTGTTGGCGACACTGTCCGAGCTTTGCGTTTCTATTCCGGGCCTAAATTCTGAGGGAGTCTCCCTGACGCAGAGCCTGGGCTTTGGCTTCAGAGCCTCTCGGGGAAGATTTGCCAGAGGCCTTTTGTATCGCTGCGGTTGTAAGGGATGGAGAAATGAGCGAGAATCCATCGGGGTTCACTGCAGGCACGGAAACCCTGCTGCTGTCTTGGGAGCTGTCGCACGAGTGCCTGGCAGCTCTGGCAGCTCCCGAGCTCCCCGGGCCGCAGGGTGGGAACGGGAGCTGCCCTGGGTCTGGGGCCCAGCTCACCTGGTATTGTGAGGAGCCACAAACCCACCGGGTATCCAAAAAATACCTGCGTGCAGAGTGTGCAAAGAGCGAGTGTGGTGTCTCTTGTGAGGCGGTGCAGGGGTGTGCAGCTGGGTTTGGGCGTGCAGTCATGTCTTGAGTGACAGCCTCGTCTGACACAGGAATTTTCCACTCTTTTATGTAATAAAACGAGTAACCCAAAATGCTCTGGAGGAAGTGCACGAAGCAGCCCCGTTCTGAGGGAACCTGCTCTGTCAGTCTGCAGCACGTCTGCGTTTCTGTGATGACATTAACACTTCCAGCTGCAAACTCTTTCATCTTGGCCACTCCAGCTGTGCTGAGGAGCTGTTCTAGGAAGGCCAAGTGTGTGATTCAGAGGCTGCTGACTCTGCCCTCCCCACTGCTCCACTGCTCTGCTCCAGGCCTGAAGTCAGGAGGGACGTGGTACAAAAGTGAGCGAAAATGAAGTCACTGGGTGTTAATTTTGGAGCAGAGCTGTGTGTGTGACAAGGAGTTGGTGCTCAGCTGGGGAGCAGCTTTGAGCTGAACCAGCTCTCAGAACACGCCCTTCTCAGAGCAGGGCACTCCTGTCTGCTCCAACTGGGCAGGCTGGAAAGGGGCAGCTGAGCTGCAGATGGGAATTCACAAGGAGTGAGTTTCTTTCTTGGTGGATGTTTTCTCGTTCCTTTGTTGAAATTACATGTTAGAAAACATTTCCTTATGTGGCGTAGCTTGTTTGTTTGTTTTGTAAGAGTTGTGAATTAAACATGCAAAGAGGCTTTGGGATCCTGGCCAAGGTTAGAGATGGTTCACAGGAAAGAAGCATTTTAAGTATGTGAATAATTCCTTTGAGTTGAAGTTAAGGTTGTGTTTTCTTTTGTTTGGTTGTGTTTTTTTCCCCAGTTAGTGTCTGGCATGCAAACAAACACCCAGTATATACAGCTCTGGTGACTGACAGCAGCCAGAAGTGCTCTGTGTTAGGGAGCAGTTGTTTTTTGGGAATTTTTTTTCCTATCAAGGAATAGTAAGGGCTTTTTTGTGTTGTTCTTTTTTTTTTGAAAGGAGTCTTCTGCTCCAGAGGAACACTTGGCAGGTATGGATGCTTTCCTGAATACTTCACCATCAATACCCAGTGCATGCCTGTTCCGTCCTGGCTTGAGGTTTTCTCGAGCACAGTGTTTAATTTTACTGCCATTTGCCCTCCTGATTTCCCTTCCCTTGTAAGCAGGTGGGATGGTGGAGGTAGAAGGGGGAGAAGCTCTGGGCAGTTGCAGCAGACAGGCCTGACAGCTCCAGGCTGGGTTTGCAGCAGGAGCAGCTCTCTGGCTCCTGTCAGGGCTGGATCTCACTTTCCCAGCCCCATCAGCCCATGGAGCTGCAGGTCTGTGGGGCTCTTCTCCCTGGAGCAGCTCTTATCAGGGCTGGGCAGGCCTGAGCTGCTTTGGGAGAGTGGGGCAGGGTGATGGCAGCACGGGGACCCCTCCCTTTGGCACCGAGGGAGGTGGCCAAGCAGGGAGTGTTGGGAGCCTCAGGGAGAGTCGGTGGTGCAGTGAAACGGGGCTGTGCCAGCACAGCTCAGCCCAGCACAGGCACCTCTGGGGGTGAGCAAACACCTTGATGGTGTTCAGACAATGATTCCTGACCTGCAGGATCTGATACCTCTTTCCCTGCACGTGTGTGGACCCAGGTCTGAACTGCAGGGCCCCAGCAATGGAAGACCTCGTTCTCTTCCTTTCCCTTCCTTTATTTTTTGTGGCAGAGCCTCTTAGGGCTTGGTTGTTTCTTTAAGTGCTGCTAATCTGTGCCTTGAACAGTGGAGCCCAGGTTATTTTCCTCTGGAACTTGCTTCTTGGATCTGATTAAACATTTAACCAAAAGCAAATATTTCCATGTTCTACTGCTGTTGCATCAGGGTAGCCCATGACAAGAGCCCTGTGTGTGCCTCTTACCTGGCCAGGCAGGGAGCCCTCCTTCTATGGAGAGCTTGACTTCTCTCCATGGATTGTGCAGGATGTCACTTCCTCAAGTAACAAACCAGATATTTCTGTTGTCGCAGGGCCTGTATTTCTGTATTTCTCCTTCTCCACCCCCCTTTTTGTCTTTTGGCTGTAATTGGCTGTCTTTTGTGATTTTTTTTTTTTTTGCAAAGTCACTGTCTAGGTTGGCCTTTGTCCAGCTGTTCCCTCTCTGTTCTGCTTTCCTGCCCCTTGAAACCTCCTCTCTGATCCAAGCACAGTGTTTTCCTTGCATGAGCCAAGTGTCCCGTCCCCCTTGGGGCAGCTGAGGGGCACAAGGTGACACTGCCAGGCTCCAAGGCTTTGTCCTGTGGTGGCCTCACTCCCCTTCCTCTGGAGAAGGCAGGTTGGGCTGTCCATACCCTCCCTTCTCTGGGATCATGGATTGGGGTCTGGCTGTGCTCTGTCCCACTTTTCCCCCTGCCTGGGCTGAGGTGTGGCTGTTTTTGGGGTGCCCAGGTCCAGCCCAGCTGCGAGCTTTCTTCCTGCACACGGAGCACGAGCGGAGGGAGCCGAAGACGGTCCCACAGGCCGACATGAAGGTGGAAATCCTGCCAGCCCTCACAGACAACTACATGTACCTCCTCATCGATGAGGAAACCAAGGAGGCTGCCATCGTGGACCCTGTGAACCCCCAGAAGGTAACACTGCCCTGGGAGCAGTGGCTCTGGGACATCCTTCCAGGTTGCTGCATCCATGAGGGAATTGCTGACGCGCCGACTCGGGCGTGGGGGAAAGGCAGGAAATACTGGCTGTGCAGAGGTGCAGGCAGGGCTCACAGCCATGCTGCCTGCCCAGCCAGCCTGGCCCTGGCTCCAGGGCTCCCTGACCTCATTTGGGGTTTTGCCCTTGGTTTGATGTAGAGCAGAAAGCAGGCAATGGGACTGAGGGCTCAGTCACTGGCTGGGTCAGAGCCCTCGTGCCCTGCTCTGGAACCCCCTGGGGAGGGATGAGCTCCCTGCAGAGCTGCTGCTGTGTCCAGGTGACACCAGGTGTGCTGGCAGCTCATTCCAGGCGAGGTGTAACTGCCCTTGTGTGCCCTGTGCCCGCAGGTTTTGGATGCAGTGAAGAAGCACGGCGTGAGGCTGACCACTGTCCTGACCACCCACCACCACTGGTAACCACCCCCAGCCTGGGGTCCCTGGGCACAAACACAGGCAGCCAGGAGCTGCTGCTGTTCTGGAGCAAGGTGATCTCTCAGCAGCAGCTGAGGTGTGAGGAGAAGGGTCAGAGCTCATTCCCTTGGGCTTGCCTGAGCAGATGCACTGTCCAGACCAGGAGTTCTGTGTCAGTGCCTTTAACCTTTAAAATGCTGATTCCTCCCAGGTGGCCAGTGCAGTACCTGGGTGTGGGGGTGGCTGTGGGTGTGGAGGGAGCACACTGCACTGAGGTGCCAGGGCATGCCCCTGAGGTGTCCTGCTCACAGCCAGCAGCTGTGGGAGGATCCCCCGAGGTGCAGATTAACTCTGCCAGGGGTGTAAAGAGGAGTGTTTTGCTGTAGCAGTGCTGAACCTGAGCAACCTCTCCTGTGGGTCAGAGTGGAGCCACCTCTGTGGCTGGAGAGCCAAAGGACCAGCTCTGATCTGGACAAACCAGCAGCACAGGTCAATGCTGAGCTGTTGGATACCTGTGTGCCTGCTCCATGGTGTCTTGTGGGATGATGGATTGCATATCCCACTTATCCCATTTTCTCCCTGCCCTAGTAACTGGAGAGTTGACTGTGAGCCCCTAAGGCTGGTGTTTCCCAACTAGGTAGGAAGTTGTTCAGGGATTGTTCCTCTCTCTCACTGCCCTAAATACTGGAGAAATTATCTCCTCTCATGTTGACATGGCTTATTCTTTAATATGAAGAGTGTTACATACTGGGAGAGTGACTGATCAGAGGTGATCACCTGCAGGTTACCATTGCAATATAAGTCACCTTAAATTTCTCTTCATTCCTTCCCAAATCCATTTTTCTGATGTTGCAGGGACCATGCTGGAGGAAATGAGAAGCTTGTAAAGATGGAGTCAGGGCTGCACGTGTACGGGGGAGACAACAGAGTGGGAGCTCTGACCCAGAAGGTGTCCCACCTGACAGCACTCCAGGTAAAGGGAGGGAGCTGCAGGATGTGGTGGGGCAGCTCCTGTTGTGTCACAGCTGGACAGGTGTGGTCT